CCAAGCAGGGCCACCTACAGCCAGCTGCCCAGGACCGTGGCTTCTGAATATCTCCAAGGTGGGAGACTCCACAACTTCCCCAGGTAACCTGTGTCAGTGCTTCGTCATCCCCACGGTGAAAAAGTGTTTCCTGATGTTCAGAGGGAACCTCCTGTGTTTCTGTTTGTGCCTGTTGCCTCTTGTCCCATCACTGGGCACCACTGAAAACAGCCTGGCTCCATTTGCTTTACGCTCTCCCTTTGGATATTTATAAGCATTGATAAGACCCCCCTCTCCCCGGCTCAAGCCTTTTCTTCTATAGGCTGAACAGTCCCAGCTCTCCCAGCCTTTCCTCACAGCAGAGTTGCTCCAGTCCCTTCACCATCTTAGTGGCCCTTTGCTAGACACTCTCCAGTATGCCTCTGCCTCTCTCACACTGGGGAGTCCACAACTGGGCACAGTATTCCAGGTGTGGCCTCATCAGTGCTGAGTAAAGGGGAAAGCGAATCCATACAGTACTAGAGAACTGACCTAACCTGTTTACCATTCAATCAACTCTTTCACTTGCAAACCTGAAATGCTGTTAAGTGAAAATTAACTTGTGAGTAAACCAGCAAACTTATTTGCTGCTTGCTTACCTCAGTCAGCCTTTCTGTTAGTGTTTATATGGGGTATCTTAGAACAGGAACTCAGTTTCCTCTTAGTTTTTCCATGGATGCTACTGCAAATAAGCACATAATGACAGTGTTAAGAGAAAGGGTGTGCACAGCCATTTCCAGGGAGATGACAGCCTCCTTTGCTTCCTTTTTATAGGCACAAACAGCAAGGCATTTATTCCTGGAGGAGCTGTGGACTATCAAAGTCCTCAGCTCCGTAATTCATGCTGCAGTAAACAAGATCCCTTTTTAGTGAGGTAGGCTTTCACCTACAGCAGAACTGCAGCAGCCCAAACCCATCTGTGGGGCAAGGGTCCAAGAACAGCACAAAGCACAAAAGGTAAAGGGGACTAAATAAATGTGAACATTAATTTATTTTCCCTCTGTTCACAGGCTGTGACTTGGTCCCCAGAGCAGACTGTATCCTCAGAATCTGCTCCTACCAGGGCTACTTTGGCAGACTTCTCTCCGCCCTGTTCTCCTCCCGTGTTCAGGAGAAAACCAGAACCATCTGTCAGGGAGAGTCAGCCCAGGACCCACAGCAGCCTCCTGAGTGTAGAAGCCTGCTAGTGCACCTGTGGCAGGTGCAGCAGAGGTGGCACAGTCCTTGGCTGTAGCTTAATGCAGCGCACTGTTGCTCTGCTCCTCAAAGGTCATTTTTCCCAGCAGCTGGCTCTCCAGCTCCACATTGCTCACCGGCAGCTGGAAAAAGTTCATTTCAGCTGCCAAAGCAGCCATGGCAGAGGGGTCCTGGCCAAACTGTGCCCGGAGCATCATGTCCATTTTCTCCAGGCGCCGCTTGAGCCTCTTGGCCTCACGCTCCCGGATGAGCCGGGCCTGTCGTTTCTCTGGGGTCTCATTTGCGCGTTTCAGTCGCATGGCCTCCCGGTCTCTCTGCAGCCGCCGTGCCCGCTGTTCATCTGTCTCTTGCATGCGCTGCAGGCGCTTAGCTTCTCGATCCCGCATACGCCTCACTTCCCGTTCTTCAGGTGTCTCATTGTCCCGCCGGCTCTTCTTGGCTGTGCGCTCCCGCTCCAGACGCTGCAGCCGCACTTCCAAGGGCTCGTTCTGCCGACGAAGCGCCCACTTTCGCATGCCAGGTGTCTGTGCCTCCAGCAGCTTACGATAAGCAGCACAGTTGTTACACACTAGGAGGATGCCTGCAGGATACACAGGAGTGTGAAAGGCAATGTCTTTCCCCTCAACACTGGAGGGGCCCTCACTCTGCGGTGCTGGCAGGCGATCTGCACTGAGCACCTCTGGCAGCTTCTCACTGGAAAGCAGAAAGAGCAGAGAGTCAGAGACTTGGTGCTGATGGAAAAGTCCCCATCTCAGGGGGATGCAATGAACAGTGCCCCTACTACAGCTCATGACGGAGGCCTGTGCTAAACCATTCCTGCCCACAAACATGTCTGAATTTCTAAAATGAAGCAACATCATATCCAGGGGAAGGAAGTGGGTTAGCCCAGAGCAGTATCTGGGTTGGAAGAGCACAAAAACAGGAATTAGCCAGCAACTTGCTCCTCCCCATCAGATCTGGATTTTTCCTTTCAGCCCTATTCCACCAAATAGTCAGTGGATAATCTTCCACCAGGCAGGAGACAAGCAAGGAACATTTTGGTGTCTGCCTGTAGTCCTGCTCTGGAAATGATGAACCCATCTGGGCATACAGACCTACTCTGGTGGATTGCTGGGCAAGGGAAGCAGTCTGTTCTCCAGTGACTGGAGACCCAGTGCTTTCTACATGGTTCTAGTTCTTCACAGAGCTAAGGAACATCCTTTTAGCAGCACAGCCTGTGGAGGTCTTAGCAGGTGATGCAGAGCTGCATGCAGGAAGTGATTGAGGGAATCTCACTCACTGAGGGTGTTCACAACTCTCTTACAGGCCTTAGTGGGTCCACAGCCATGACTTCTGTGTCATTTAAGGCAACCCACCTAATCTTTAATGTGGGTACCCTAGCCCACTCACCAGCCAGGGTGAACCTGACCTGTTGAACGTGGCGTGGCTGGTGAAGCGTGCTCCACACACTGCGCAGTTTGACAGCTGGTCCTCTGAGTGGATCAGGAGATGTCGCCCAAGGGATCCTGGTGAGCTGAGGGCTCTGCCACATACAGGACACATGTAGCTCTTGGCACTCACCACAGCTGCAGTGTGCTGCAAAACAACCACTAACCACACTAGTTGTTAGTTACAAACTGCCCAGCTCCCTGCCCAGCCTGAGGCATGTTCAACAGACACAGCAAACCATTCCGTTCAGCCTCTTGGAATGGGAACACTTTACTGCTAAACCTCTGTCTGACAGCTCCTAGCCCAAGCTCAAGACATCTCAGGTATCACAGGTCAAACAGCAAAGGAAACCTTTCTACAGCTCCATTCCAGTGCAAAAAAGACTTAGATTGTAAGACCTGACCCTTGTTTTCAGAAATGCATCTGAGGAGCTGCTGTTGCTGGACAAAGCATGACTGGACTAACAGTAGGCAGGATGCTGGTGAGGAAGCGCTTAGATGGAGACAGTCAGCTGGTGCAAGTAAGTGGCCATTTCAGTTCTGCTTCATTCCTTCTTTTACAGACTTTGATGTGCTGTGAAGAGAGTACTGACAATAAAACCTGTGAGATTCCAGCACAGGTTTTGTGCAATACAGGAATAATTTCAAATGAAAAACAGCTGTTTTCATGGGTGGGAACTGTGATAAAGGTACAAAATAAAGAACTGAGTGATTAGGAGGAGGGTTTATTATCTCACTGAAAGATGTAAAAATTGCTTCTGTGTTTAATCTGAAGGAACTGCTTGGTTTTAGCCTGCAACCGCTTGCAGAGACTGCCTTGGGATAGAGTTGTGTTTTCCAGATCTGCAGAGCAGTGCCTTGCTGATTGTGATCCTTGCCCCAGGACACCCTCTGGACACAGTTTACTGCTGTAAACTTCAATCACATCTTAGCTCGAAGCTCAGTTCTGTGACTGCAAAGACCAGAACAAAGCCACCCTGTTTCTGGATTTGGGGCTTAAGGCCAAAGTTATCCCACAGTTTGGAACCATCCACTACCTGGTACACGTGAGCAATGAGCTGCTCTCTGCTTCCACACTCCAGCTGGCAGAGGGGACACTGTGACAGTCCCAGTATAGGGTCAGCATTCAAACTCTCAGGCACCTACAGGGAGGAAAAGCCATTTTGTGTAAAGCACACAGATTCCCCACACACAGCCACCCCACCCTCCCTTAGTATCTACTCAAGACTGCAGGCAAGCCCTGACCAGATCAAGTGCTGTGTGCCCAGTCCCACTGGGGCTGGTTTGTGTTCTTGCAGTCCAAAACTTGCTTTATGTAGCCTCTGAGCAACACTCCTGCTGTCTCGGGGAGAACAGGCAGGGGTCTCATGGCCCCGCTTGCACCCAGGCTCTTGCCAGCACAGTGGCTCTGGTAGGCAAGGCCTGCTTTGTAGCAGAAGGGAAGGGGAAGTCAGCCAGAGAAAGGTACTAGAACTGAAGGAAAGGGACACACTCTGCACAATCATCTTGACCAACCAGGAGAACAGCAATTTGTGCCTGCAATCAGCAGTCCTGTTCCTGGCAGCCCAAGAGATCTTTATGCCCGTTCCTCCTGCCAGGAGACATTGCTTGGAGGAATTGGGAGGAAGGAAAAGGTAAGAAACCATGGTGGGGACAGGAGGTGTTTAGACAGTACCCTTCTCTCTCCCTAGGAGCTAAGGTGAGTGCAGAGCCAGTACACACGTGCCTCATTTTCTCTCATCAGTGGGGTTCCAGCCACAGGTTGTTCTGCATTCTCCAATTCTTTCTTCACTTTCACCACTGAGCCATCCTCCTCAGATGTATGGGAAGAAACTTCATCCTGAGTGGTTTCCTCATCATCACTGCCACCTGGAACATGCAGAACAGTTATTCCAAGAGTCAGAACCCTGAGGGCACTCACAGGCCTAAATTGTCCTGACCAGCATCACCTGGGGCCTCTACCCACACCCTCTTGAACAGGGGCTTCATTTAAACTCAGGCTGGGGCACTTCAGGCCCTGAAGGGCTCTGTAGAGTCCCTGGACTTGGCCTGTTAACCTGCTTGCTTGGCAATCACAGGCCATCAGCTGGACCCACTGCTGTTACCACCCTGTTCTGCTAAGCTGGCACTGCATCCCAGAAGTCAGGTCATTGCCCAGCCTGTGCTGTGGTGGTCCGTGGCTCTGGGCTTGCCTTCCCTTAGGGAGCAGCCTTGCTCTTTGCTGACACTAAGTCCTGCACAGGGGCCAAGGGCTAACCCAGAGGAGGAGTTGGGTAAGATGGTCTTCAGAGGACACCCCCCCAAGCTGTGCAGCACCTAGCCTCACCCCTTGTCAGAGTCTCCCCAGTCCACTACCTTGCCATTATTGGAAGGGGCAGAACTCACTGCTGCTGGAGTCAGGGTCTTGCAGTGGATGAATGGGTGGCCTTTGGTCCCCAAGAGCTCCAGGAAAGTTGTTTTTCATCATGGCTTGGCGGGCTTGCTCCTCCAGCCCTGCAAAGACTTGCTCCCCTGGCAGCCACAAGGACAAAGAGTCAGACTGGTGCTGTTCCATTGCTTTCACCACCAAGGCTTGCCAAAAACACAACAGGTGTGGGGCTGCTCAGCTGCACTGTGCAGGACCTCTGAAGTTACCTCTCTGGTTGCCTACCCTGCAACACCATCCTTTCGTACCCACTGACGCGAGTCCAGTCCCTGTGTCTAGAACAATCTCACTAATGGAAGTGTCCAGCATCGGGCTGCTCTCAGCATACTCTTTATACACCACTCCAGCCACAACCCGACCCCTGTGAGACCTCATACATATGCCATATGTAGACAGGTGGCTTTCCCTGCTACCAACACACCTGCCAACAGAGCTATAGCACAGCTCTAGGCAGGGGGGTAGCCGCTCGGGGATTATGAGAGTATCCCAAATGAGGCATAGTGCTATATGGCTCTTCTAAATCATTAAAGTCCTATTCCCTGCTATAACTGGCAACTTGCACAAAAATAGTATCTCCTCAAGTGCCTGGCACCTCATCTGATCTCCACAAATGATACTAAAACCAGGGGTTGTCCTTGGCATGCTCTGTCCCCACCCTCTGTCCCAGAAGAACTGAGGACAAGCTGCCCTTCAAGAAGATGTTTGTGTTTGGAGCTGGTGTTCTCCTGCTTACATGATGGATAACTTGCTTTGCTACCATGCCTTGCTCAGGAGTGGCTCTGCCTAGAATAACTCTCAGTGACACTTCATATGTTCAAAACAGAAAACTAAAGGAATGAACCCAGAAAGCTGAGATGCTTGTTTAGAATAGCTTACAGTCTGTTTTGTTGAAAGACACTGATCACTGTGCCATCGGAGATGGCAAACACACTGGAAGAAGGCAATTATTTGTGCTTTTCTGAAAGAAAACTTCTTACATCAATCCCTGCTAAGGAGAACTCTTGGTTCCAAAGAATAACAATAAAAAGCAACCAGTAGTTTTCATATTAAATCAAATAAATTACTTTGTTCCAGGTGTAGTCATGATTTGCCTCTTTCAGTGGATGAGCTGGGAGCACTTGAGACAAGGTGCTGAAGTTCCCAGTGGGCTAGCTTTTGGGTTAAATTTCTCAACTGATTTTTGAGTTCTCAAGAACCACTCAAAGCATAAATACAAAAATGCTAAGGAAGATGCAGTGCATTTTTCATATAAAACAAAAGCTTTCAGAACAAAATTGTATCTTTTAGTATAGGGCCACAACTGGCTTAAGTATAACCAGGGAATTGAATTTTTGACCCATTGAAAGAGCACCAGTCCTGTTACAGGACAGGTACATTCCCACATGCTAAACTGTTTCAGCCAGCTTGCCCCATATTCATACTCACACTGCCTTTCTGGTGCTTACCTCTTAATTTCTGGCAGTGCTTTAAAAAACAGTAATTTATGGAAGATTTCAAAGACATTCAGAAGTTTCACAGAGAGTGTGGGAGAAGAGTTTTAGCTCCCAACATCCCCATGGAGGTTTCCAAAAGCATTTGAAGGCATTTATCATTCTGTTTCAGAAATGTGAGAAAAGTTGCTGCAGGGAAGACTTGAGAGCACAATCCATGGGGGCTGAAGAAAGGTGCTGAGCAGCAACCCTAAATCTATTTGTCACTGAAAGCAGCAGTTACCACCACGATTGCTGTGACTTGTATACCCCCATCAGAAGCCATTCCAGCACTGAATGGTTTTCATAACCTAGAGTGCTGCTTTATGTCTGGACCACAACCTCACATTGGTGGGACTGAGATACAGCCTGCACAAACAGCAGACACTACAGAATTACAGTGCCTCTCCAAGAAGCAGATATCCACAAACCACCAGGATAAAAGCCCAGAGACCGTAAAAGCATTGCAAGACAAAGAGAAAGTATGGTGAAATGAGGAAACCTGCGGAACACAGGAGAGATGTAAAACTATGGTGGGAGACATGCTACCTGTGACAGTTACAAAACAGCATTCCCAAACACTAGTGGAAGCAGCTATCTGTTTGTTTTCTTCCCGCTTCCAAATGGCTTATGTTTCCGCTGACCAGCAGCCTGGAGTCTAACGGCAGGTAGGTGCCTGCTTAGATACACAGACGATGCAGATGGTCTGCAGGATTTTAAAAGCCGTGGTCTTTATATGAGGTGACTGAAGAGGAAACACCTCCTCTCAGTAACACTAACATCAATCACAACAACCAAGAGTGACATGTCTGCCAGTGGCCTTTCTGTACAACACACACAAAACCAAGTTAGCATTGATTCAGCGCAGTGCAGAGCACTATCAGCTTACAGCCAGAAATGCAAACTGTTAACCAAACCAGTGCTGTTAGCAGACAACATCCTGTGCATCCTCCACTTGCCTCTATCTAAAAGGCCTCATGGGATTGAGAAAGACAAACTTTTAAAAACGCTATCTTTAGCTTATACATAACTTCGTATGTTTTAAACTGTCTTCAAAAGAACTTAGGGAAGAGTGTCCTGTTCATCTACTGATGGACTAAGTCCTACTTCGATGAAGCTTTAGAGCTTTAACGTTTGATAGGTACGGGGTTATACTTTTATTGTTTCTGCACACACATGCTCACACATAGACACTTACACCCCCACCTCCACCCCACTTTGAATACATTTACATTCATTTGGAAAGCAAGTTAAGGCAGGCAACAGCTTTAGGATTGCTGCTATCAGTAAAGGATGTTATGCTCAATATTGAATTCACAGACTCTTCTCCAGAAGTTTCTTTATTAAATACAAAAAGGGCTGCAGGCTGACCACAACACCAAAACAAGTCACTGTATTTGTTTTACAAACAGCTAGAGATGTAGGACAGTGAAAGACCATACAAATGCCTCTGCTTTGCACTCCAGTTCTCCTCTCCATAATCCTGTGAACAAGTGGGATGCCAGGTGAGCAGCTGTGGAGGTGGGGGGCAGCCCTGGGGTACTGTGCAACAGGGGCAGATATGACTGCTAGGATCTGCTGGGGTGTCACCTTGGTAGCCAGAAAGGAATTTTTTCCTGAGCCCTTCCCTTCTTGAACTGTGTGAATGCAGGATAGCTCTCAGGTATTCTGGAAAATAAACACACAAACAAACAACCCTCAACCCAAAATCCACAAAACAAAATCCAAAGAAACTGCATCATTCCCCTGTCTTCCTTCCTAAACAGAAAGGTCTCTCAGAGATGAGCCACTTTATTCCCTCCTTGTACAGCAATTTAAAGTCCCTGTTCATGTAGGTCTTCTCTGTGTTCCTTTCCTGGACCTGAAATTTGCAAGTCTTTCCACCACTGTGGATCTAGTCCACCTGCCCCATCGCTATTCTGGGTTGTCCACACTGCTGTAGTGGTTACTGAAATGAAAAACAACACAATTGAAAGAGTTAACAATGTCAGCCCACAGAGCCCTTTAAGAACCAAGGATTTTGATGCAAGTAACATTTCTGCTCAGTTTTGAATGCTGGGTGCTATTTCTTGTAAGACACTTTCTCTTCAAACTGGGAATATTACAGACAGCAGAATTCAAGGAACACTGAAGAGCACAGAAAGTGTGTGTATCGGAGAGAAGAGGAAGTAGAGGATTAATGGGATATTGGGAGCATGGTAAACAGAGCTAGGAAATGGGAATTAATTTGACTGACAAAAGCTGTTCTCAGGAGTTCTAAAATAAGCATCACTTGCAAAGGGTACAAGCAATAGAAAGAAAAACAGCTCACAGGACAGCAGGGAGAGAAAATAAAAGCACATGCTAACACCTGCAACTAATTCTTGCCAAGCACAAGAACAGCGAGTAGTCCATAACTGATGGAGTGACAGTGCAGCAATGGATGGGCTCGAATGCAAGATCAGATGAATTGCTTAGAAAGATTTTATACTTTAGACTCTAAGAGAAAATAAAGACCAATTGAACCAATTAAGGTATCTCCAGAGGAACGACATTGTTGAACAATACAACTGCATTGTATTTTTCAATTCAATGTGGAATGGGCAATGCAATAAGTATACTTCAGTATTACAGTTTTATTTGTTACCACTTTGTCAGGTGTAAATGTTTTTCATGCACCATGTGGCAAAACAAAATTAAATTATTAAGAGCCAATTATGTGCTGCAGCCCTGCCAAAGGCAAAATGACTACAGTTAAAACTGTAGGACTGGCCACCATGCACAATGAGACTTTTGTGATAATAGTAATTTTTATCATTGTTTCTGTATTCTTTTGAATTTCCTTACACATCAACTTCCATTTAAAACTATTTTGACTTGTAACCACACAACTTCTCAGCCGGTCACTCTGCACACCAAACAAAGTGATTCTGCACTAAGTGAGGACAGCAAACCACGTTGTTGTGAGAGCAAGGTTAAATGAGGGCCATGCCAAGTCTGGGAGGTAACCCTGGAAAGAGGCGGTGCTGAGCAAGCCAGGGAGATGAGATCTGCAGCTGTCGCTTGCCTTAGTGAATCCAAGAAGGAAGACGGAGTGGCCATGCAAGGAAGGAGGCACCATCCTCCCACAAATGTGTCCCATTAGATATTCACAGTGGTATTTATGCAAATCCAAAAGGCACTTCCCCAGCCCCACAGCCTGACAAATCAGACCCCAGCTGCAGACAACTGGATAAAAAGCTGCATACCTGCTGTCCCTTTTATTCCTCTCCTCCCAACCACTTCAGTCCCTGTGAAGAAGTCTCAGTAACGTGTCTGCTATGTTTCAGCCTGACTTCTCATTCTGCTGGCTCACCCAGTTCTTGGAGCTGATGCTCTCTCCGATTATCCTCGTCAGTGCACTGCATGCCATTTCTGGGCCCTCCAGATACACAGCAGGCTAGGTAGACAGAGAAGTCCCAACGATTTGGTGGGGATTTTCCATCCCAAGGTGGAGACATCACCATTGACATGTTTCTTGCATCTTTCGGTCCCTTTATTTTCTTGTGGTCCTACTTGCTGCTCCTGATGGCTCCTGTTGAACAGTTGCTCTGTAGCAATGTACCACATGTAAAGGAGGTGAACAGGTCCCAGAATTCCTCTCTATGGCATACCAGATGCCATAACCTCAACCTCATGCCCGCTGGTAGCATGTTTGTCAGATAGCTTCCCCTGAGACCAAAACTGGAGACACAATCACTTGTATTGCAGATAAAAAAGCAATGTTCACTGTGAAAATAGTGCACAACTGAACTCCATAATATGTATAGTTCTGTATATAATAGTACAAGCTTCTGAAGAACATAACCCTTACGCAGTGTAGTGCAGAAAACAGCCCACTAAACACCATGGAAACTCTACCTGCACCACTAGAGCTGTTGTACCCCTTGGTTTCCATACAGGAGAGACCATGGCTCTACACCAGGGGAGATGGCGCAAGTCCATGCCTTATGTAAGTCTGATCTAAATGGCAGCAATAGTATCTGGGCGCTCTCAGAAGCAAGTGTGTGTGGACACAAGATGTGTTACTAGCATCATAAGACAGCACACAGGACATCAAATTTCTCTACAGAAGACAATTCCAAAGTCGTTAACGTATTATCAGGCAAATCAAAGCTATACTCTGCCCACTGTTGAACCCAACACCCACAAGCAGGAATTGGAGAGCACAAGTCAGCACAGATGCCAAAAGCCACACCTCAAGACTCTTACGCTGGCCACCAAGGAAAGCTTTGTCAGCTCTCCCATGCCTAGCTCTAGCAGCCAATGGGGCTTTCAAGTCCTAGACAGAGGTAATTCTCCCCAGTACACTCGCAGAGTGTGCAAAGGGTTAGGTAGGCTACATCACAATGTGTTTTCCTCTAGTACAGAGAACAGCATGCATAGATTCCTGTTGCCATACCCATACAAAAAGGCAGCACAGAGAAACAGAGACATGCAAGCCAGCAGCAAAGTGAGGCAGTGTTAGGGCTGCAGCATTCAGCTCTGTGTCCCATACTCCTGACAGCTACTACAGCTTAGCAATGCCTAGGGCCCTCTCATCAGCCTTGATATCACATGTCTACAGAAGCGGAAATTTATTTTCCTCATTCCAGCCCAAATTCCAAACATGTCTCCAGCCACAGAGCTGGGTGTGTACAAGGGCATAGCTTCAGTCCCTCCAACTTCCCTCTGCTGCAATCAGTCAAACAAAAGCCATATACGTGCAGGTTCCCCTGCAGCCAAACATCCATACGTGTCTCCTAGCTCCACTAACATCCCGCTGTAGCCAGCACGCAAGAAGTGTTGATGTACAGCATCTTCAGCCCTTACACTATCAAACAAATGCCAGGGTCTTGACAATGCTGGAGAAAGAGAGATCTGCCTTACCAGCTCAGCTCAAGAATGATCTGACAGATAGCATTTATCTGTCCAGTAAATTACTTAGCCACTGCCCATTCCCTGCAAGGAAAGAGCAAATGGCTTTACTTACATTACCTGATAGGAAATTGAGGTACAGTGAGCTTAAGTAACATGCCCAAGGTCAGTCGGTTGAGTCTGTGGTAGGGCAAACATCAGAACCCAGGACTTTCTAGCTTTCAGCCACACACTCAAACCACCTTGCCTAGAACTTCCTTTGCTACCCAAGATAGGCCAGAGCCCTGAAGTCACATTTCTTAGCATACTAACTTGCACTTGTGACAGGGTGAATGCAAAGCACAGCTACAGTCCCTGCACATACACACCTACCTTTACAACACTAGTTGTTTGTTCAAGCCTATCACTGTCCTGCCATGCCAGGACGCAGCCAGCTCCCCCGATGCACACAGCTCAGTTTCTCTTCTTATAGTCCCCAAGACGAAATGTGAATAACCACCATTCCCCCACAAACTGTAGCTTTTCATCATTCCCCTCCTCTCTGTCTCACTCCACAACAATCCAGTTAGGACAAGGATCCCACAATGCTGTGTAACATAATACTCACAATGAACTTTGTTAGGAGTCGTCTGTTTCCGACGGGACATGCTTCCCTGACCTGGGAGCACAGAGTGTTCGTTCCCTCAGCAGAGGGCTCACCTGAGAAAAGAAGAGCCTGTCACACACCCCACTGGCACTTTCTGAGCCTCTGGCCAAACACAGCTGGCTGTCTCAGGGTCACTCCCCACCCTTCTGCCCACAGGGCTTGTTCTGCATCACCACAGCCATACTGACTGCCAGCATCCAACATGATCCACAAGCATTTCACAAACCACTATGTATGGGCAGTCCCACCCAGTTCTCAAGCAAAGTTATAAGCAATCCTGTCCCCAGCATACAAAAAGCTAAGAGTGCCCCACTTCAAGAGTGACAACAATCTCAGTCCAAGGTTCTCCCTCCTGTCCATTCCCACAGCTTGACAGGGCAAGAGCATAATCAAACCTGCAGACCCTGTCCTACCTCTGGGCCCCACCCAGACAGAGACTGAGGGCACACAAGGCCCCACCACGCCCAGAAGGTGGGTGTCGGGCACCAGATAACCCAGCCCAGGCAGAGAAGGGAACCCGTCTGCCCTACAGTCACAGCTCTAGACTCAGCAGCAGCTGATGGGACGGTGTGGCCAGCCCAGGGAGAGGTCTCAGCCCAGACAGGTGCCCCACAAAGGGACTGACCTCACCGTCCTCATAGACAGGCATGGGGAGAGGGGAACAGCAGGGCTGCTGCACCCTCCCTGCTGCCAGGAGCTCCCTGGGCAGGCAGGGACGGAGCCAGGCAGGTGTGGACACCCGCCTGCCCTCACATGGGGAGGGACGCACCCCTCTTGTCCCTCGCAGGTGGGGTCACACTGACCCCCTCAAACTTTACAAGGGGGAAAACATCGACTCCGCGTCCTCAGACTGACGGAGGAAGGAATCAATCCCAACAGTCCCCTCAGGCAGACAGACAAAAGGTGGAGCTCAACCCATTCTCCCCGAGACAGACGGACACAGGGATCCCATCACCCTCCCACCGACAGAGGGATCC